GAAAGTTTTAGCCTTAAATTTCTTCCAACGGTCAGGTCCCTACATCGATGTTCATTACTTGAACATCGCTGTTTAGGTCTGACTTTTGAAGATGGAAGTTTGGCCTGACAGCGCTGTTGCTGGGTCAACATCGCTGTCCAAAAACTTTCTGCCAATGCACTGTATTTTTGGCTTAGGTTGGACAGCGCTGTAGGGAAGCCTACATCGCTGTTCCAGAAGTTTCTGGAAATCCAACCTTGGCTCAACAGCGATGTCTAACATCCAACATCGCTGTTGGAAGACTTAACGCCAAACCATGATTTTCAGCCACCCAAGCTAGACAGCGCTGTTGGTTTCACCAACATCGCTGTTGGGCTGGTCTAGCCAGACCCATTGTTGGTTTAGTCAGCCGTTAGCCGATGTCAAAAATGTAAGTTCTCCAAAATAAAAACCAAGTATTGAAAATGTTTGTTTATTGTACTTTGCTAAGAAATCAAGTAAAACATTTTGAAAACCACGTCATTTAGTTGAAAACCACGACTAGCCAAGTTTACGCCGTTTCGCATGGTTTTCACTAAACGACCAAAAACGAAAGGTGGTTTTTGAAGCGTTTTTGTTGGAGAACTATTTAAACATGCCCAGAAGTAAAAACTAATCATTAAAAGTTGAAAACCACTTGGTTGGTTAGGACGCCAAAAACCAATGCCGATAACCGAAAGCCGAACGCCGGTTTTCGACGACCGAACGCCGGATGGCTTGGTTTTTGGTTTGGGCGAACTCCAAGTGTTTTTAGGCAGTTTAAAACTTAAGAGAAACATTTTTGAATATGCAAAAGATATTTGATAAGAGAAGCCTAGATAGCCAAGATTTGAAAGTTTGTGCCGGTCTTGATCACATTAAGACCGACTCAATAGAATTCTAATTCTTCGTTCTTGATTCTTGGTTCTTGGTTCTCAAATCATCATGTCATGTTCCTTCTCCTTGGTTTTGCTCACTTTAACCTTGTTATTGTCACGGCGGTTTGGCATTATCAAAACCTGTCATAAAACGAACACAGTTTAGTACGACGTAGGCGTACACCCGTGTTCCATTAAAACGAAATCAAAATAACGTTAAAACTCATTAAATATTAAAGAATAATTAGAACATATTCGAAATTAAAACTCATTAAATTTTGAAAAACAATTTTAAATTTTATAATATGGGAATATAATAAATATAAATATAATTTAATAAAATTTAAAATGAATGTTTCTAATTATTTAAAATTATTATTTATTAAAAAATATCATATAAATAAAATATTTAATAAAAATTATTTATTTGCCCCCAATTTTTAAATTAATACTCCCTCCGTCCCTCTGTATTTGTCCACTTTCATTTTTACACACCATCGAATGCACTTTTTTAATCCATTTTATCTTGTAATTTGTATATTAAAAAATTATAAAAATTATATATTAATAATCTATATGTTAAGACAAATCAAACAAGATCACACATGACTATATTTAGGTTTACTCATTGAGAGAATTTGATGAGTCAAAGTGTTTAGATGAACAGTTCCAAAAGTCAAATGTGGACAAATACAGGGGGACAAAGGGAGTATAAGTTTTGACATTATTTGAAAAAGTAGTATAAGTGTTAACATCGTTTTGATACCATTTCGATGCCATTAGTCGGTGACTAAACTAAGTATTATTATCAGTTAACGAGAACCATCTAGATAATTAGTTTATATTAAAAACTAGTACAACATAGTTATTGAGTATTATTTTAAAAATTTATTCTAACCTAAATACTCCCATCGTCCTTCATAGACTTTCTCAGAAACTATTCAATACTATTCACTGGATCAAGTTTAGCTCACATTGTTTGTTTATTTTTACTATTTGTTTCATAAAATAGTATACTTTTATCACCTCTTGTTTTTATAATTTTTCATGTAGATTTTTATTATCTAAATTTTATTTTTCAAATTTATAAATTAAATTACAAATTACATTTACCTAGGGCTGTCAATGGATAGCCGAAAATCCGATTACCCTCTGCATCTGTATCCGTTTGAAGAGAAAATATCCGCATTCGTTTTAAACGAATATTATCAGTATCCGATTAAGAATATCCGATTACTAAACGGATATGGATTTGGTAATTGTATATCCGATCCGTTTAATATCCAATTCAAATCTGCATCCGTTTAAATAATCGTTTATCCGAATATCCGATATGATTCGGTATATATTGTAACACCCGCCTTCTGTGGACCCGGTTCACCCGGGAGCCAACGGACCGGTAGGGTTACATGGGTGGTCCGAGAACCGTCCGTAGCAAAAGTAAACATTAATGTCTATTTATTATGAAAACGGTTGTCTTTAATTGGTGAGATAAATGCTAGGGAGTTAACCCCAAAACGTGAGTGATATAAATGTAGAGTAAAAGCGGAAGTAAATAAATAAGTCCAAAATAAGAAAAACGACATATGGTGGGTTAATGCCCAAATGATTAATTAATTAAATGATTATAATTATTAGACTTGTCCGTGCGCCGGCCATCTTCCCATCATCACTGTCCTCCAGGGTTAGCACATGTACCGTCATGTCTACCTGCGTGTAGCAAAAACAACTACACGCTCAGCAAAAGCTTAGGAGTGAATCTAACAAAAGAACATTAAGTGATAACCCATATGGTTGTACACATATTAATACCTGTACTTAACGTACGGAAAACCACATGTTTACTAACTGCTCAATTTGCACTTGTTGGGATGCTATTACACATAACAAAATGAATAACAACCACATTGAATGTTGATGTGACGTGGAACATACATGATGACGATATGACTTGATGCATGACTTAAACTATCAGGGACACCCCTGTCTTAGTCTCACTTGACAGGATCACCCTGCACTCCGGTAATGAGCCGGGCTCGACGAAAATGTCGCAAGTGAACTAGCAAAACTGGGTGGTAGCCGTAGCCTGACTACTATGTACGTACACAAAGCCCACCTGATGAAAACCCGTTGGATCCCAAAGGTGCCTGGACGGGCCCACTGTAGTAGGCGCACGAAAGTCTGACCTCCCTACAGCGGTATGCACATGATGATAAACCTAGGACATGCGTCTAAAATGAACATGATGAATATTTGATATAATTACCTTTGGTCAACGCCAAGAATATATCAATTAAACAACATAAATAATGAAGATTAACATTTCATACAAACATATAATCAGATTAAGTGTCAATTTGGTCAACGGGGCTCATTCTACAAACTGCCTGGAAATCTGCCCGCGGAACAGTCGACCGTACCCTACCGGCGGTCGACCGTGGGCTGCGTTGTGGAGGTCTGGACTGCCGGCGGTCCACCATGGTCTTCTGTCGCGGCCGGCGGTCGACCGTCACGGTGGTGACCGTTGGAATGGCCATGGGAACGGTCCACCATCCGTAGCGGCGCTCGACCGTCCCGAAGACAGTCCGCTGTCCCTTGCTTCGTTTTGATCCGTTTTGCTAGTTTAACACTTAGATTCTTTTTAGAACAATAATACAAACATTGATAAATATATTCCTAGTGATTCCTAGGCCAATATTTATGCGTTTTACGTAGTGAACGTTTTGATGGCTAACCTACGAACATTAGGGGTGGGCACGGGCCGGTCCGAACTAAGATTTGTATAAACCGGACTCGACTTGTTTTTTTTTAAACGGTCCAGGCCGGAACAGGTTTTCAAAATTTTAAAATTGAAACCGGACCTAACCCGGCTTGTTTGAAACGGGCCGATTCCACGGGTCAACGGGTCCGAACGTATCATGATACTAATATTTAAAAAATAAAGGGATTATAAATTAGTCTAAGTCATCTAACATAAAAAAGAGGCGTAAATGAAAATAAAACAATAACAAAGTGGGGCATGAGAGTAAAGTGTACACCCTATGATCATCCAACAACAATAATAAAAAAAGAAGATAACCATATTTTGGCATTATAATGTCAATGGGTTCCAAAAAGAACAAAATTCACAATCTTCATGGGTTCCGACTCTCTGGCTATGAAAGGTTTTCTTACTTTTCTGCCTGCGATTGGAAGGACCAAAACATTGAAGGGCTTAGGTGGGTAAATTTCCATATATCCGTATATTTACTAAAAATAATATTAAAAATAATATTGGGATTTAAAAAAACGGTCCGGTCCGGGTTCAATACAATTTCAAAATGAGGAATCGGATCGACCCTAAAATTTGTAAGCACCAGACCGACCCGGACCGTTTGAAATTTTTGAAAAGAGGACCCAACCCTAACCCGGACCGAACCTAGCGGTCCGGTTCCGACTCCCGGTTCCTAGACCCGATTGCCCACCCCTAACGAACATGCATAGATTCTACGTAGGTTGCGTACGATATTCCTATGAATATAACGACATAGATTATAACTAAATATTGTAGAATTAGAGGGGACAACTACTCACCTCTAAACAAAGGATTTGATGAAACGTAAGTGGATTGAACGGATGGATGACAATGAACGATGAATGGACGAACAAATGAATGAACGACTTCTCGCGTAGCCCTCCTTCTCTACTACCTCCTCGTCTTCTCGCCGGAAAATCCCCCCTTGGCTGCTGTCTTGGCCGAAAATGCAAGGGGAGAGGAAGAAGGTGTAATGAGTGCTTGGGAGTTACAAGTGTGGTGGAGGAAAGGGAGGAGAGAGGGTTGTTGATGATTGAGTTTTAGTGGTAGTAAATTTCCCTCTAAAAGAGTTCAATTTATTCCCGTGTCGTATTCACAAGGATTGGCATGTAAATAAATTTTCTATTAAAAATTAGTTAGGCAAGGCATAATGATTGGTATTGGAAGTTTTCTAATTTTCAAAAATTTAAGTTGATTGAACAGAATGGTAACTTGATTGAATTGATAAAGAGGAATATGAATTGATTTCGGGTAGTAGGCAATTTTCAGATATCTTAACTAGTTGGAATACTAAAATAATTAATTAATTGTCTAGTGAGAGTTCTGTCACAACTACTCTATTAATTATATCTTATCTCTAAGTTTCATTAATGTGCTAGTATTGGTTGACTAAATTATTTTTTCACATTCATAGACAAATGGATATAATAATTTTTCAATAATTAATTAATAAATTGACCAGATAAATTAATTATAACATTACAACAATTACTAGCAACTTAACATTTTAATTAATTAAATTTAATATTCCAACTTAATTAAATTTATCCTACATACCTACTACCCTATTTCAATTCACATTCCTAAAATATTTAAGCAGACATGATAACAATTAAATGCACACAAATTAAATAACATAACATTTTTATATATATTACAGAAAACTTACAACTTCCAGAAAAAGCGGAATTGA